TTGGTGAACGGATGACCGACACGTCTCATGTCACAGGAGAAGGTCAAGGGGAAGGGTGACAGTAACCCGGCTCTTCCCTGCGTCTGAGCGCAAAGAGGTGGCTGAGGATGGGTCCTAGGCTGAGGATGTGGCGCTGGCTGCCCCTGGGCTGGGTGTTTGTCATTCAGTGGCAATTCATCAGCGTTTTACTTATGGCAGACTCATATAAACTCAGCTTCTTTTCTTTTTGCAGGCTGGTTCTTCACACACTTAGTGAACAGGAGTTAGCAGAAGTTAAAAACTGATGTAGAGCTGTTGCAGAGCTGTTCAGTTGCTGGTGGCAAAATGCCTGCTCCTGGTGGCATTACCAGTAGAGCTCTGCCACCAGCAGGGTTTCCTATGGGGGCAAATAAACTTTCTCTTAATGCTTCTGGGTCCCAAGAAGACAAGTTGCACTGGAACTCCAGTAATGTGCTGTCAAAGCCATCGGCCTTGATCTTTAAGCTGAGTTTTCTAAGCACCCCAAACCCAGCTACCCCACTGGGGTAGCAGGCTGTCTTCTCACTGTTTTCTGGTGAGGCTGTATGTTTTTTTCCTCTAGCAGTGCTCTGTATGGATGAAATACCAAAAGCTACTTTCCAGTATGTCAGGAAGTACTTCAAAGTATAAACACAGGAAAAAATATCTATGGGGACGAAATACAGAGCTTTATGGAAGCCATATGATCATGTTTTGTTTGGAGATGGTCTGCTGTGCCAACAAATTTTAATGAATATTGCATTTTGCCTTGTTCATAGAGCAGGATGAGTGTAAGTCACCTACCACTTTTCCTTGTGTCTGAGACAAATCTACGCACTTTGAGATCATAATGATTATAAATGTTCAGTAGGCGCTGTGCCACCCCACTCACTTTTTTCCTGTAAAATAAAAAGCTCTTTAGATTTGTACCTACTATTCTTTCAAAATAATTTAACTTGATTTATTTCACTCCAATGTAATACACCTTATAATAAAGTTTTACTGTGTTTTAATTAAAGGGAATAATGACGATTTCAAGCCTGATTTGTCAGCCAGTGACTTGCATACCAAGTCAGAATTGTAGAACAATAGGGTTATTTAAACAGGAAAAGATGTGATCCTGATTTTCTTGTAGCTATTCTGAGTAAAGCTTGTCTGCATGCAAAATAGTACACAGCTCTATATTTTTTGCACTTACATCTGATTTCTAGTGTTGTGTGATTATATAAATCACACATATATTGAACAGAGATTCCTTTTTTAAAATATTAGGTTTATGAAGGTACCACAAATGACTTTTGATGGTGTAGTCCCCCTTTAAAATAGTTCCCATTGAAGAAAACTATTCTTAGCCCGTGACATCAGGGGCGTCATACTTGCCACTTCAGATAATATATGTATACTCACTGTACAAAAACCCTTCCTGTTTTGTTTTCAGCATTGGTTATGTTACACATACACATTAGTATCTATTTTTGTTGTGAAACTGTCTCTCTTGCATATACAAATACTTTTTTTTTTTTCTTGCATAGGAAAAGGGATAATTTGCATGTACAGTAAGTAAAGGGGATAAAGACACATTTTTCTTACTTAGCTCTGGTTTTAGAAAGCCTGTTACAAAACCTGTTTTTATTTTGCAACTATGGATAGCAATTATTTTTCAGGATGTTTGTGTTTTATTAGTTGAAAACTGTGAATCAGGGTAGTGAAAATGTCTTTCTTCACAAGCTAATCCTAGTTCTTTCTGTAGAATTATAATGAAACTGTTTGTTAGTTATACACTAACTCTGTGTTTTCATTTGCTGTTAATGGTATTCTGTTTGTGGGATGTGAGAGATCTTTTCAGTGGTCATGCTGTTACCTTTTTACCCACCTACATCATAAATTAATTAGTAATTTTAGTTAATGCCAGAGTGGCTTAGTCACTTTGTATTTCAAGTAGCTGCAAGGATGACACAGCAATGTTAGTAATTAACTATGCCAACCTTTATTCTTATTCTGGCTAGTAACTCAACTAAAAATTCACGGTGGTGTTGCATTTTGGCATGTATCATCACAGAGGCTCAGCCATTCCACCAGCCCTAGAGTTAGAAAAGCGTCAGTTAAGAGTGTCCAAAAAATTAATTGGACCCTCTCAGTTTCATGCTTTATATCACTGTTATTGAAGAAGAAGGCAAATGGGGAGGGCTTAGCTTGTGCCTTGAATGGTATTGCGTGACATTCTGAACCTGTATTTTTTACTTATTTGTTGGCTTAAAAAGGAAATCAATCAATCTGGGTTAAGAGATTCAGGGATTTGAGCTGGGTAGCAATTTTAGCATGACTCATAACACTTCACAGAATTAGCTTGCCAAGAAGGTGTGCTTCTGTGAAACTATGAAGTACCTGGGCTCAAGGTATAGCCGGAAGAGAAATCATTTTGACAGAAGAGCTCGTAACAGTCCAGCTCATGCCTTTTGGTGATGGCAATGGAAAGAATCATCAGTATTGATCATCTCAAGTCCTTATAGCCTGTGCTCTTGCACAGTGCCACGTCACCTTCAGCTCCTCTTTGCTGCGGAGATCCTGGATAAGCACAGAAGTAGGAGCAGATACAGAAGTGAAGACAGAAGCAGGGGAATAGCCAGCTGTCCACAGAGCATCATTAAGTGATTGTCCTGCATGTAAATCCAGGGACCACAGTTTGGGATTTGATACTCTGGAAGTGGAGTGCTTGGAATGAGTACATCTTAACATTTTCCAGATAATTAAGTGTCTTGAGAAACATTCATGATGTTTCTCAGCAATTTTGTGATGTTTAAGGGAAATTAGTTTTGCTGTAAGCAGTTTTGCACATTTGTGCAGTCACATTATAACTTTCATGCATAGAGATACATAGTAGAAAACCAGATAAAAGCATCACGTGATGTTTGCAGCTGAAGTTTCCAGAATTTATCTGCATTTTAATGGCCTAATCTAGTTTTCTTAATTCAAAAGAACAGCCCCCCTAGATACAAGCTGGCCTCATCATTTATCTGAAGGAAAGATGATTAGCCTTTATTTGCAGTTTTTTCTCTTGACTGGTGGAGGCTACTGCAGTGAAGCTTGTTATTGTTTTATTGTGCCAGCAAGGAGTAAGTACCAAACCAGATGCTACTTTTGTTGCTTTGCTGCTGGCAGCTACCCTGCTCTACTTCTGGACCTATTGCCTTGCCATTTTCCCTACACCTGCATGAATGACTTGATTTCCTTCATCCTCTCTCTCTCGCCACTCTCCTCCTTGAGATCATTGTCCTTTTGCTGTTCAAGTGCTGTGGTGCTGATCACAGGAGCTGAGAGCAAGAAGATTTTTCTTGCTGCACTTCATCTGTGGCCTAACGAGTACCTGGGTGATGGAGGCAGAGTAGCAAAGGTAGCAGCTGCAGGAAGAAAATATAGGAGCTGGAACAGAGGGAGGGAGAAGAGAGGGGACGTAGTGGAAAGACAGTGATAGAGGCTTAAACTATTTCATACTAGAACAGAAGATGGAGGATAAAAATGTAACCACTGAAGCAGACTCCTTTTCTAATCATGAAGTTTGAAACAGAATTCCACATTTTCGCTACTGCTCTGCAGCCTCAAAAATAGCTCAGAGCCCCACGTGTTTCTTGAGTACTGTCTAGGATTGGTCACTGCTGAGGATAAAAGTCTGCTGCTGCTGGGAATTGCTCTACCAACTCAAGTGGCAAGGTCTGTGACATGGCTCTAGGTTGCCTAATCTTATTGTAATCCTATTGAGGAGTACTGCAGGGATCAATGTGATTCCACATGTTGGAACGCCTGTATTTTTTCTGGTTATTTCCCTCCCTCCCCAGATAGAAAATTATATGTAACACCCAATGTCAAATAGATTGATAAAGTTTGTACTTATTCCAAGGGGAAAAGACTACGTGATGATAATTCAAGCAAAGCTGTAATGCATAGGTGCAAAGAGGCTGAATTAAGGTTGCACGTGCTCTCTGCCTTTTCCTTAAATTAATCTGGTGCCATATAATTGTCTGAAAATAACTAAAAGCTCAGCTGTGGGCTTCTGTGCAGCCTGGAAGAAATGCCTATACATCCGTCTTCACAGAAAAGTACTGAAGGCAAAATGCCAGCAATAATTGCATGAAGTACAAAGTAAACTTATTTCATCGGAAAGAGAAAATTATAGATCAGCATCTATACTTTTTCTCCCTCTGTTTTCCTGCACCCCCTGGACTGAGATACATCTGTACTTCTTATCTGTGGGTGTGGTACATTTCCTACAGCAGGAAAAGTTCTTGAGGGTTTGGTGTCTTGTGGCACAATAATACCTTCTCCTGCTTCTTGGTTGGTGTGAATCACACCCGTAGGTTTTGAGTACGCAACTGCAGAATTTCCAGCCCCTCTTGCACACAAGCCCAGCTTAAAGAGTCAAAATTTAGTATTGGCACCGTCATCATTAAGCACTCGGATTTGAAATGACACTGATACTTTACTTGTGCATTTAGATTTTTTGCTCCCTTGCCCTCCAACGTGAAGAAATCACTTTGCTTTTAAATGACTTTTTTCACATGTGGAGATAAACAGAAGCCAGCAATATTTCAGACATCATCTGCCAGGAGGGCAGCTGCTACACAAACTGCTATCCCAAAACAGGTTAAATGGTAACTGGGAGGAGTGTCACATCTAATGCCTTGTCTCTTTCAGTTTTATCTTGCCAGGGCTCAGATGGGAGTTGTGATTAAAAGCAGCACAGATATCCAGATAAGAACGTAGGGTATGCGTTGGCTGGAAGCTGACAGGGTTTAAGTAATCACCTGCAGTTGAATTGAGGCTCGGATGGGAAGTAGGAAGTGCTGTACTCAAGCTTCCTGTATAAGTAAATGCAGCTTTCCCACAGCTACTGCATACAAGCTGTGACGTGCTTTTAAGATATAATGGCAGCATGCTCTTAATAGCAGGGAGGGGATGATTTATCAGAGTGGCAAAGGGGCTGGGAGACAAGTCCTGCTGCAGTCCTAAAAAGTGTACAGCTGTCAGATACCCGGAGAGGAGGAAGGGCGTGCGAGAGCAATCTGCCTCCGCTGCTGGTTGCGAGCTTTAGAGGTTTGTGACATCGTGGTTCTTGGGAATGCTGGAGTCTGAGTGCAGCTACTGAAAAGTCACACAGCTGGCAGTGAATGCTGCTTTCCTTTCAAGGTATGTTGGAATACAGCTTTCTGTCTGCTTTTTCCCCTTAAAAGCAAAGGATACCCTGAAAACAACAGAAAGCCAGCATTTGCTCCTGATGGAAGAAAGTAGAAAAGGCTTAGTTAAAAAAAAAGGTAAGAACTAGAATGATTAAAGAGCTAAAATAAATGTTATTTGTGGTTTGGCTAAAATCAAACTGTGTGGTGCTTAGAGCTGAGGCAAACAGAAATCTTGGAGTCCCGACTGTTAAAGGCACAGAAAATTAATTAGACATCAAGTACTTCCCAAAAGGGTGAAATTACTCTTGTCAATGTAACTTTTAAAGAAATATCTGTGTGAAGTGTTTGAAAATGCTGCAGTATTAGGACATATCTGTATGGAAAGCAGTTGCTAAGATGGCATACTGTCAGTCAATGTATCTGTTTTAGTTTAAATACAAGAACTCTGTTCATACTGAAAACACATCTGATTAAGCTGGAGGGAGCCCGAGTTTAAAATGCAGAGATTTCCTCCTGGTTTAAAGGCATTTCTTCTGCCACAGTCTTGTACAGCTGGTATCGGGAAGGAAAAATATGCTGATCTGTATTATAAGTGTTAATGTACACTTCTAATCTGTTCAGGGTTTAGGGTTATGTGGTTTATGTAAGCACATACTAAATATACAGTACATTTGTTTTCTAGTTTGCATTTTTAAATTTTTTTACACTAAGAGCAGAAAATTGCATTTTACTGATATGTTTGCACTGCTTTCTCAGCATAAGGCTTTATCAGTACAAAGCTGCTTCAGTAATGAAGATGTTTCAGTCTGACTTACTATAACGCTCTGTATTTTCTGTAATACAAAGGCATGCTGCTTCCTAAATGTATACAGGAATATCAAATGCCTTCCTTCAGAGAGCACTGTAAGTAGTAAAATATTTAGGATAACTATAGTTAAGGAAGCATTGCCGGGTGACTTCCCATCCTCTTGGTAAATAGACACTGCATGCTTTTAAGAAGTAAATTTTAGCAGAGATACAGGCCGTGACTGAAATGCCCCCATGCAGCTTTCCAACGAACTGTGAGCAGGCACAGGAACACGATATGTTTGGCTACCCTCAGTCTGAAGGGCAAGTGGTCTCAGTTAAGGGCAGGCACTGGGTTTGGGATGCCAATATTTCTGGAAACAGAAGTTTCAAAATCCTGTCCTTAAATATTTTCCTAAACAAATACATTGACCTGATTCTTGTCCTGTTTAGGACTCGTCTATGTCTGAATGTGAGTGAGTGTATGGGTTGTTGTCATAGCATGAAAGTGGCTGAAACCCTTCCCTCGGTGAACATAAGCCAAGTTGGAAAAAATACAGCACGTTGATAAGGGGATGGCTGCTGTTATGCTCCTGAAAGTAATGCTTTAGATTATGGATTGAGAGGAGTGTGTTTGCAGAGCGTCTAAAGCTGTGGTAAAGTGGGAGGCATTCCTTCAAAATAAACTGGAGCTATTCTGGAGCCAAGCCAGTATGATGAGAATCAGACTCCTTTTCTCCCATGCACCTTACTGTCCAATGGGGTTATTTAACACGAAGTGCTGTCTGCTTATACAAGGACACAGGAACCTTCATACACTTCATGTAGGAATAGCATTTGGCAACCTGGTATAGTTTCTGTTCCCCATGCTGAACTATAGCCTGCGTGCTCCTTGCTGATAGTCACAGTCTTCTTTCCCACAGATGGTGACATTTTGGTGATTTTGCTTGTGTGGTGGTATACTTTGGAGCAAAAGTTAATAATATAAATAGCAAACAATATGGAGTTGTTTCTCTCTAGCTAGGTTCTTGGATTACACTATATTCTCTAAATGCTTCATAAGTTTTGTAGAAATAAATAAACAGTGTTCAAGTAGTTATCTGGCCTTTCCCTTCTGGTGGAGAAGGAAAGTATGTACTTGTCCTTATTATCATCCTAAGTTTAAAATGTGACTGTGAGAAGAAGCAGCAAGTCACTTTACAGGAAAATAAGCAGCGCTAATACTTAACCCCGGTTCATTAGTATGCCTCTGATAATATCTATGGTATGAGTCTGAGCCCTGTGCCTGCAATCCACCTTGTCCAGACCTTCCAGTGACTTTCAGTGGTGAGACCCAGTGGAGTGTATTGCTCTGATGTGTAGCTCAAAAAACTGCTGTAGACTTGCTGTCCCTCTTCTTTGAGTGGGGAGTTTTCTTGAATGTGTCTGAAACTACACAGTGCCTACAGATTGTATGTATCAGATCCATAAATATCTCCTGGGCTAGTAGTACCATGACATCTGAGACCGTAATTATAGCTCTGGGCCCATGGATGTCACAAGCGCATGTGAACAAAATACTGTGGCAGGCTGCTGGTGTCGCTGTGAACTGAGTCCATCGGACCTCCTTGTACATACCAAAGCAGACATTGCCTTCAGCTTCATGAGGCTGAAAATGGTTCTGGATCTGTCCTCTTCCCGTGCGTGCTTGCCAGGAGGTAGGTACAGTTCCCTCCCCTCCCTCTGGCTTCCCATGCCAAAGCCCAGCTCTGTCTAATGCACTTCACAAATTCTCTTCATTACCCAACAGCCAGGAATAACCTTACATTCATTCCATCTCAAAATTAGTCTTCTTTTTGTTTGTGAAGGTGAATATTGAACCAAACAAAAAAGAACAGGTCCAGAGGGAAAGACAGCAATGATACTAAGCTCAGCCTCTAGTATTTTGTATTTCTGCTGAAGCACAGCTGAGCTCCAGTGCTAGACTATGAGCCTTCTCACTTGACAGAGAGAAATACAGGTCTGAGGGCCATCGTACACTGCAAATTTACCCAGTCTTGGACAAATATTTACAGAGATGCTCGTGCCAAATAACTTTGTGCTGATCAGTAAGAAAATAGTGTTCGGTAATCTTTCTCTGTGTCTCTTGTAAATGGTTTTGACTCAGTGGGAACTGAGTGGGCATTATGTTCATAAAGTAGATCATTGCTAGCAGATACTAAAACACTCATAAAAAAAAAAGATAGCATCTCAAATTACAAAGGACCTCATCCTTCACTTCCTGCTGAAGTGGGACTTTTCCAACTCCTAGTCTTCCAGGGAGGAGCAGAGGTGCTGAGGGGAAATTTCTAGGCTTGAGAGCACAACTAGGTTAACGGCATTGCAAACACACTTTCAGATAAAAAATGTAGCTATATAAAACACATTTTGTTGATGCAGTCTCCTGGATCTCTTTGTATGTATTGATACTTGCACACAATGACATGTTCCCCGTTTCTGGTTCCTCTTACTCTATTTTAATAAAGAAAAATTATTGTGGGTTGCCCAAGACCTGGGTGGTTTTTCACGGTATTTCCAGGGGAATCTGCTCAGCCTCCAAGGGAAAATCCATAATCCGTAATTAGAAATGCCATCAGCTTACTTGATTCTTTGAATGTCCTTGGTGCCTGCAAGTACAGTTTTGGCTTCAGTGGAGTTTGAGCTGCTCGACTACGGGATCTACAGGCATCCTTGTGGCTCGTGTTTCCAAGCAGGTCAGTATCTCTGGAGTCCCAAAGCCAGCCAGCACTGGCCACAGCGATTTGGGCCATGTGAATCTGGCTCCTGCTGGAGAACTGTTAACCTCTCTGAAGTAAGGCAGTCTCAGACATGCTGTAGTGAAGGGACTGTTTGTATAAATTATGTTTATATAAAACCTAATGAGAAATTCTGTACCTGTCTGACAGACTTCAAAGACCATAAATAAGGGCAATTGGGTGAGTCAGAGTGGGCTCCAGAATTGGGACTTGATAAGGTGTATTTTCTGGTGTTGGTCTGGAGCTGTTAGCAGTGAAGATGGTGAAGTCAAGACGTGCTGTTCGTGAAAGCTATAGCCAGCATATTACTGTGGAAAAGTCCAGCTTGTGAATGTGAGTTTGTGCACACTAGAACACATCCCCTGCATGGGGTTTCTTCCTGTGCACTGGAGCTTGTTGTAGACACAACCATTCTACCTGCTTTTTGTCTGAAGGAGAGACGGGAGATGCTGATTAGGAGACAGAGTACAAAATTACTTTTTACTAGAAGAAAAAAAATACCATTTTACCGTCATGATCATGTTTCTCCCTTTTAATTGAGAATGTCAGTATTTGTGTCTGTTGCAAGCTTTTCTGCCTTTCACTTTGCTGTAATAACGAGGAGAGGAGGGAAAGCATATGACATGAGTCATTACTCAAAGAGTGGACGCTTGTCTGGGTGTCTAACAGAAGCTTTGATATTCATGTTTGGTTATACAAACTATTGTATCTTCAGACTGCCAGGGAGTAAATGTGCAGAACTGAAAATTTTTATGGGCTTTATATGTTTGCAAAAAGGAAAACAAATTGCAACGGAAGAGCTGTATCTCTGTGTTCAGGGCATGAAATGGGTCCTTCAAGGCTGCGGCTACTTATGCTTTTATGTACTATATGCTGCTGTGGCTTAGGGGTCAATTCCCTGCTCATGTATATATAGCTGCAAATCATTCAAAATTGCGTGCTCTAAACCCTAAACCCTATGTACATAGAAGGAAAAACACATTTCATGACAGCTAGTATGTAGGCGAATCATTTGCATGCAAAGAAAGTTCCAGGTTTAAGAAGAAGCTGTGACGTACAGGCTGACACTGGTTATGTCAGCAATAGATGGAAAAGTTCATGTGTTCTCCCTGTGCTTAATTTTGGAAGCATTCTGATGGGAGAAGGTGGGGAGATGATAAAGGAAAACAAGCTGGTCTTACCCCCTTCAAAAAAAGAAGGTTACAAAAATGTAGTCAGTGGGGAAAACAGGCTGATCCTGTGTGCTATTTACCATTGCACTCACTTGGAGCTTTTTCACAGCAGTGGACCCTCGGCTAACCACTGCTCTTGGAACCCTTCCCAATGGGGTTTTCCCATTATAGGGCTAAGATAACATCCACAGGGCCAGCAATAACTTGCTTGCTGAAGTTTTGCACAATGGAGAGGATGCAATCTTGCACCCATCTGACCTCTTCACAGTTACACTGAT